GGAAAAATTATTTTCAAAAACACCCCACTGCTTTCAAAGGAAACTAAGTCTAAAATGTTTACACTTACTCGTTTTCATCTTCATTGTCAAAAGAAAGAAGGCTACTGTTTTTGATTTGCTTTTGTGAGTTCTTTTTAACCGAATCCTGCTTATTCACTTCATCTTCATTTGTTTTTTTCTTTTTTGAGCTTGCTGTTAAACCTGAATACTTTTCATCTGAGGAACGCTTAACTGGTTTTCGATACATGATTCTTCCATCAGCTGGAGGTGGTTCTTCATCTTCTTTGACAGCCTTTATTTCTGCTTTAATTTTCATGACTTCTTCAGCTGTAAGGTCTCCCTTTTTTAAAACTACCACTTGAGGCTGCTCATCTTCTTTGTCACTGTGATCACCATCTTCATCTGGGAGCTGAGGCTGTATTCTCTTGGTCTCTACGGTGGGCCCCTCCTTGTAGCCGACTCTTTCCTTGAAGCGGGACAGGAAGGCTGGCTCCGCGGGCTGCACGTAGGACACTTGGTTCCGTTTGCTCATGGCTTGGATGAAATCACTTGGAACAACTGCTATTCTGAGATATTTTATTTTTATTTTTGCAGCTATTGTGAACGGGAGTGTTTCCATGTGCTCTTTCTCTGATTGCTTGTTATTGGTATATAAAATGCTATAGACTTTTGTAGGTTAATTTTGTAACCTGCCACTTTACTGAATGTGTTAATGATTTCTAGGAGTTTTCAGGCAGAATTTTTGGCATCTCTTAGATATAATATCATATCATGTTCAAAAAGGGATAATTTGAACTCTTCTTTTCCAATTATTACTCCTTTAATTTTCTCTTATTGCTCTTGCAAGGGTTTCAAGTACTATGTTAAAGAGAATTGGAGATAGTGGACAGCCTTGTCTGCTTCCTAATTTCAATGGGAATGCTTCCAGTTTTTCTTCATTTAGAATGATGTTGGCTGTGGGTTTGTTATATATTCCTTTAATTATGTTGAGGTATGTTCCCTCCAGTCCAATTCCCTCTAAGTAGGACTGTGAACGTAAATGCACATTGAATC